TTGTAGGTTTAGGTCACAGATTATATGTCTGAGTCTTTATTCTTCATATGTAATTTAAAAGCAAGCTTTTCTTTGTACAAACTTCAATTGAATTTCAATAAAGTTAAAGGCATAGCCTCACCATTAATATTTAAAAAAAAAATATATATATATTATCCAACAATTAAATATCTCTACTAAAATCACAAATACTATTTATACTATATTATTTCACTACCTTAATACATCACCACATCTTTATTTTTTAAATCTTATTCAAGGCCTCTACTCTATATCCCTATACAATAATATTAAAATACTTCTTCATAAAACAACATTACTCTTTCTTATAAAGTTATTCAATACTTCTTTTAATTAGTTTTATTAACAAATATAATTACTATGTAATATTCTTTAACAACAATGAGAAAAAGCTCACAATATAACTAACAAATCCAAATATTCAAAAATCTATTCTTTAATTCCTACCTCTTAATCAACATCTAATACCTCAAATATATCTACTATTGATTCTACTATATCTATTAAAAACTGGCTATTTTTAGGCTATTCACTTACTAACTATATTTACTAAATGCCAAGACTATTACTTTAGGTTTTCTTCAACCTTTCTATATTTAAAATTAATTTGAAATAATTAATAATAGTATTAAATAGAAATAGAGGTGTAATATCACATTAGGTGTCTTAAAATAAGTAGCACAAATGTAGTTTAGAAATCTTTAATGTAGTTCTTCTATTACTTAATAAAGTTTCTACTTTGGCATTTCAAAAAAAATAAAAAAATAAAAAAAAAAATTTTAAAAAAGTTTGTTGTCTTTTTTAAATAACAAATTAATATAGATTTTAATATATATAATATTAAAATTTTTTAAAATATTCAATTTTAGTATATTAAAAATATATTAACAAATATTTATTAATAATTTTTATATAATTTATTTTATAGAACTATAGCACTATAATGTTAAAATATTGTGACTAATTAAAATTTAAAATTAAATATAATATATAAATTATTCTTTTAAGTAATAAAAAATAATAAATTTTTAAAAAATTAATTATATATTAAAATTTTAACTAAAAATTATTTGTATATTAATAAAAAAACTTTTTGTAAGATTTTACTATAAGTTATACTTTGTTTAACTTTAATCTTAATTTTAATCTAACACCAATTAAAAATTTTATCTTTTATAAATATATTATTTTAATTGATAGTTACAATTATGTATTTATATATAAAGCAGCACTATAATACTATAATACTATAATACTATAGCACTATAATAATATTTATATTTTTTATATCTTTAAATAATAATATAAATTATGATTTTTATTTTTTATTTTTTTATTTTATTTCTTTTTTATTTTTATTTTTTATTATTAATTAGTAATTTTATTAGTAAAGAAGTTATAACACCTTATGTGATAATTTAAATGTAAGCTTATATATTTATATATAAATTATATTTAAGCAAACTTTATTTTAAATAAACCAATTTAGTCAAGTTTATATAATTATAGTTTCTTAGTTTAGATTACAAATAAACTAGCCTGGTCTCTTATTCTTATATGTAATTTTTATTTTGTTATATACAACTTAGTTTATTTTAGTACCTTTGTACTAAAACATATAGTTAAAATTATTGATAAAGATATGAGCAAGGTCTCATCTTAATACCAAAAAAACAATAATTATAATTTTCTTTTAAATAACACTACTAGCTTATTGAAATCTGTTTAATAATTTTAAATATATATAATTTATATAAGTAAAGAAAACTCTAATTCAAAGAAGTTTTCATATATTATAATTTAGAATCTATAATCAAAACAAGAAAATAGTAATTAATTTAATGAATTAAAAGAAAATAATTAGCATTGTTAATATTCAATTAGTAATAGCAAGAACAAGTAAATTTAAATACTTATTATTAACTTCTATTCAAATTCACATAACACATAATTAATCTTAAATATGTATGTGGTTTACATTTTAATAAGTCAGATAAAATTTCGAAATCCAACCCTGTTTGAACTGAATCCTCCAAGCTTATATGTAAAAAATTTAAAGAGTTTAGTTTAAAAATACTATGCCACTAATTTGAGCTTATTAATAACATTTATAAATGTCCTAAAGCTTTTTTTTACAAAACTTATTAAGTGTTCAGCTTATCTAAGTTTGATTCAGAGTAGACTGTATTTATTTTACAGTTATTCTGCTTGACTGAAATTTAAAATTCACATTTTCTATAATGAATTTTAGTAAATCGTTTTTACCATAAACACTTAAACAACTTAATCACAATTATTTGAGGAATCTATATCATTTTATTTTGCAGACTTATTAGTTTTTATAAATTCTGGAACAAATGAAAAATTACTGATGACCGAATCGATAAGTTACTGAGTAGAATTAATAAGTAACCGACTTTAGCTGAACTCAGAAACTTATCGATTCAGTCATTGGCAATTTTTTTATTTGTTCCAGAATTTATGAAAACAGCCGTAACGATTGATTCACATACAAGTTTACTTTGCAAAAAATTTATTTTACTAAAAGCTCATTTTACAGACAAGTTTATCTCTTATATAAACTATAAGTTGTTCTGACTTAATGGTATTATAAATATTATATAAAATTTAAAATCTATAACTTTAGTCCACTAATTTAATTTAAATAAGATATAACTATTAAAACAATCCTCTTAATAAACGAATCATTTAATAGTTATATTGCCTAACTTAGATTAGTGGATCAATAGTCATAAAATTTTAAAATTCTTTATTAAATTTAATAATTGAAATTAAAAAACATTTAATTAAATTATAATTTATTATATTTTTATTATTTAATATTATAATATATACAATCCTAAAGCATAGGCTTATATAGCAATAATTTAGATAAAATATTAATTATAACCTTTTTTTAGCTCATTATAATAATATGCAATGCATCAAAAGTGATAAAATTACTTATACTGTAAACAGTATGAACTGCATATTAATACTTATTTCCGCTCAAGTTATATTTAAACTACCACATCTCATCAGTTATATAACTACTTGTATATTTGCTATAAACTTGCAAGTTTACGAACTAGAAATACTATCTAACATATATAAATTTTAATTATATAATATCTTTTATAATCCAATAATTTATATAAAGTAATATGTAAAAATATTCTAAAACATATTAATGACAAAAATTATTCATCAAACGAAACCTTCTATTTCTTTCAAGCAAATTATTAATTCCACTTGTAATTTCGTTATTAATGTTATTAGAACAAAGAACTAAAGAAGTTAGAGTAGTATTTGTGAAAAGAGCTTCAGCTAATAATTTTCCACTGTCAGAATGAATGTGATTAAATGTGAGATCCAAAGATACCAAAGAAGAATTTTGATGTAAAGCCTTCGCTAATGATTTTATTGATTCACTACAAATATTATTATATCCAATATTTAAGATGGTTAAAGTAACATTTTCACAGAGTGCATTTGCTATTGCATTTATTCCTTCAAAACCAAGCCTATTGCCATAAAGGTTTAAATAAATTAGAGTAGTATTTTTGTAAAGAACTTCGGCAAATGACTTTCCTGCCTCACATTCAAGATTATTGAAAGCAAGTTTTAAATGAGTTAGAGTATCATTTTTAATAAGTGATTTTGCCAATAATTTTCCTGTTCTTGTTCTGATTTGAGTATCAAATCTTAGAGTGGTTAAAGTGATATTTTCACCGAGTACCTCCACTATCGCCTTTCATCCTTCAGTACCAAGTTGATTATTATAAAAGTCTAAGGAGACTAAAGTGGTATTTTTACAAAAAGCATCTGCTAATGCCTTTTCTCCTTCAGAATCAAGTTGGCTGCAACCAAAATATAAATCCGTTATGGAAGTATTTGTATAAAGGATCTCCGCTAATAATTTACATCTTTGTGAGTTGAGTTTACATTTCCAAAAACTTAAATGAACTAAATTGATACTTTTAAGTGTTTTTACTAATAAATCCATAGTTATGTCATCAATAAAGTTGTTAATCCACAACTTTTGAAGCTTATAAGTTGTTCGTAAAAGCATTGTAATCAAGGAATATTTAATCGCTCGATGAATTCTACCACGAATTTCGTATCCTTCATGATTAAACCAATCTATAATTCCATTGCCTAAAGAAAAATCAATATTTGTAATATAAGATGCATATTCAAATAACGGCTTTGGACCATTAGGTAAGTTTAATTTAAATGGTATTAATAATGCTTGTTCTTCAGCGTTTAGAATCAAAAGTAATATCCTTATCAACTTTTCATTTTCTAAAGAAACTGGCTGACTCCATAATATTGGAACGACAATTCTGCACCAATGACGATTTACAAGAAGGCATGAAAATAAATCACAATTTTTATGAAGTTTGACAAATATTTCAAAAAGACATTCGTTAGGTAAAGTAATCATGTTAAAATGGTTTAAGGATTTAGCAACATTGTGTGCAACATTATATATATGCCGATTGTAGATCATTACCAATTGAGCTAAACAAGCATGTACAAATGCTTTACTATAAAAAACTAGTACTAATTAAATTACTCTAATCATGGATGCATTATATTACGTCACGAGTCTCAAGTCTCTCAGTATGGATTAATTACTAATTCCTACAGATATATAAGCCTTTTACTTATCGGGAGGAGGGGATGGATTAGTAGAGTGATGGATATTGGACGCAAAGAAAGCCGCGTCTTCCATTGTTGAAGATAAGTTAGGGCCGCATATATATCTTTTACATACATATTAAAGAAATTTACTAGATTCATTAAATCCATAAATCTGTTTGACCCATTAAATTTACTAACTTCGCCCAATAGTAAAAATTTAAAAATTTTTATGATTTCCTCAATTCTCCAAAATGTCGAATTTTTTTGAAAAGTTGTGTTGATCGATCTTGTAAATTCTAGAAATTCAAGGTATTGTAGAATTTTTAGAATTGGATAATTAGAAAAATTTATTTGAATTTTCAAAATTTGCTGAATTCTCAAAATTTGAGTTTATGAAAAACCATATATATAATGAGATGATACTTACTTTCAATAATTGGCAAATTGGTTTGATTTCGATATATTTGCTCTCCAGTTCCCCGATAAGTGAAGATTATGCATCAAAGGAATTAGTAATGATAATCCTCCCGTGATCTTTAATATAATTATCTGGAGATTGGTAATTAAAGCCTGTGATCGCACATTAAAGACTCATTCCGTAATATAGAGCTCTAAAAAGCCCAATTACTTGGACCAAAGCCTTCCATTATTGGGGTTAGTTAGGTTACAGTAAAATATCAATAACACTCATTGATAAGGGCATTGAACTCATCAATTATTGAAATTAACCTAAATATAATACTGTTGAATTACAAACGTACCCACTGTTTAAATCTCGAACCCACTTGATTTAAAATCATAAATCCATCCACTGCTTAAAATCATGAACCTAATCATTAATGAAATCATAATCCCATTCTACTTGTTGTTAAAATCATGAACGCACCTCTATTAAAATTACAGAACTAGTAATAAATTACAAACCCAGTTACTGTTAAAGTCATAAAATTGATCATTGTGAATCCACCCATAACTGAAATCTTAAACCAACCGCTATTAAGATCATGAACTCACTTAAAATTGTGAACTTCCACTGCAGTTATTAGGCGTAACCTAGAGGTTTCGCAAAAAAAAAGTTAAAAAGACGAAATGGCGAAACTGGCGTAAGGTGGTGAAACTAGCGAAAGATGGCGAAACTAGCAAAAGGTGACAAAACTGGAGAAATGTAATAAAGTGGAGAAAGGCAGTGAAACTCTGTAAAGTGCCATGCCGTAAATCCCCTATGAGATATACAATGTGATGCTCTGTGAGCTTAAATTTGATTATATCCGAATATAATCATGTCAAGGTTCAATGTATAGTACCCCAATACTTTTGAAAAATGCCCGGTACCATATAAAAATCTTTTTTTCAATAACATAAACTATAATACATGACTTAAGTTTTTATGGACACACACCAAGTTTGACGAATTTTTCAGTATTGTTAGCTTGTTTGACACAAACTTTACAGCTCTTATATATCAAGCATTAACCAATAATAAATTTGGTTTATAGTATGATATAAATTATGTATAATAGATTAATTTATTAAATTCTTCTAATTATTTTGTACAATATATTCTCCTACTTAAGTATCCTAGTACAGCTCGAAGACATTATTTTTTGGAACTATACCCCTGACCAATATAATATAACATTCTTGGATATATCAGTTGACATTTTACAGTAATATTTATGTTTTCTGAATTTCATTTTCATATTTTTCATATTTGTCTGGTAGTAGAATGTTATTTATCTTTCATATTTTATTTTACTTTAGTAATATTAAGTATTATTATTAATAGCTTAATATACGCAGGTTACCCTCGTTATAATGTAGTGGTCGGGCAGAGAAATTCTGTCAGTTGTAATGAAGATCCGCTATAGCGTTATATAACATAATAATAAAATTTTTAAATTGTTTCAGAAAATTGCTCCGTTATAACGAGGTATCCACTATAATGGGGTTCGTTATAATAAGCGTAAACTGTATACATATCTAAAATATTACATATACAGTTAGTGAGTGTGTGCATTTATAGAGTAGAAATTATATATAGCTCTTATGAGTTGGGACCAAACCTTGCATTGGAGAGTTTTTATTGAGTCAGTGTATTAATGGAGTACTGTATATTGTTATATAAACTTGATAGAATAAGTTATTTGTAGAAAAGTATATATAAGTAAGATTTAGTATTATAATAATTGTCTAAAAGTTTTCATTTGCAAACACTGGTTTAGATCCTTTTCTTTATATGAGCCACATGCTATGCTTAATAGCCATATACAAAATAATTTCACTCACCATCTTTACTGAATTAACAAAAAATTTTCCTTAAGCGATTTTACTAGTCCACCCTCACTAACATCTAACCATTATACAACGCTAAATCATACCGAATTTTTATCATTGTCCGTGAAAGCAACTTTTTGGTGGGTGGGGATTGGAGTCGCCTAAAAATTTTCTTAATCGTTAATTGTTTAACCGTTTAATTTGGCCGGCATTAAAATAATTCCGGCCAACGACCACCATAATTCTGCCCGGAACTATGGAGCAATTTTTAACCGGTTAAACGGTTCCAATCCCTAATATAGGTAAGACTATTAGCCACATGCAATAATTCATTCAACATGCTTCTTTGTAACATGCTGTGCTTAATAGTCACACGCATGCACCAACATGGCTCAGGTACAATTCTTATATAAGCCACATACTGTGCTTAATAGACACGTGCAAATATTTTCATTCACCAACATGGCTCAGTTTTTTCCAAAGTCTTAGCGAATTTAAACTTGCTGAGAGCTTTTACCTTCGACAGAAGTTTCACCATTTGCCAAAAAACTTTCACCTAACAACTGTACTTACCATCCAAAATTATAATCGCTACTTTTTCATTATGAACCTGCTCGCTGTTTAAATCATGAACTTATTCTCTGCTTATGCCACAAACCGCTCACTATTGAAAGTACGGATAACGTTTCAACTTTTTTTTGGTTTGTGAAATTTTTTTAGATTCATTTCTGAATTGAACAAGTGACTTCTCAATTTGTTAAAAGGTGAAAATTCAATATAACTTTATTGATGCATAAAACTGACAACTATATATATACAGTTAAACCTCTCTAAGTGCATCCTCTATAAGTTCACACCCACTCTAAATGCACACTCAATTCTGTCCTAAGGGCATGCACTTAGAAAGGCTGAATATATATCTAACATAATTTAAAAACTTATAAATGTTATAATTTGAAATAACGAATTCTATATAATCAAAACAGCCATGTTAAATGATCTTGTAAAAAAAAAAGAATTAATAATCTACTTTTGAAACAAATAAATCAACACCAGGAACAGGTTTAGATACAATGGTAGCTCTATCCTCAACATTAAAACCTTCAACTGGTCTATATTCAAAATTTCTAATAAGTATAGCTAAAACAGTTTTAAGATCTAATTGAGCCATTTTCATTCCCAAACAAGTTTTTGGACCAGCACTAAAAGGTAAGTAAGTACTGTTTGTTACTTT